AAACGCTTTACATTTATTTGTGGATCTTAATCTATTTATTTGTGAATTTGATATATTTTTGTGAATCTCTTTACATTTATTTGTGGATCATAATCTATTTTTTTGGAATAATGCAACAATTCTCACATAGTATTCCAGGGTTCCAGACTGCGACCATTTTTTGAGAATGTGCGAGTTAAAATTTTATGTGGTCGCATTTGTGCGAGCGCATGGTCATGTAGCCTACTCAGTTAAATTCACCATGCGCAACAGAACGCCGTTGTATCCGCAGCTGCTGCAGTCCGTATGTTCAACATGAACGAGTACAGCATGAATCCATTTTCCAAACCGTGTTTTTGACTTATCCTGAATCACTACGGTACGCCTATAATAAGTGTTTATATTCTGACTATATTATCCCGGGGTCGGCTCGACTGCGGAGTTGCCCAGTGCCTGCGTGACTCGCCATAGACATTAAACCCTTTAACTGACTTCTCAACCAAACGGTTGAGCACATTTTGAGTCACTATATTTTATTGAGAGGAGTACCCAACTTAACTCAAACTGATTGAGCCATCTCTATCATCTGGTTGAGGTATATTATGCCAAAAGAAAATCCACTAGATGTCACAGTGTCAATAAACAGCACTTGTCACAACACTTCTTCTAACATGGATGTCAGAAACAAATAAATCACCCCAGCCATGTGAACTGTTTTTGGTGAAATTTTGCAAGCTAAGCATAATTTTTTTACATATTACACTGTAAGAGCCTTAACTTTACAAAATGATGTTACTTGGTGCCAGGCCCGCCGACAGGGGGGGACAAACGGGTCTGTTGTCCCGGGCCCAGGGTAAGGGGGGGGGGCCCAGAACTGGGCCCTCATTAAATTATGGAATAATTGTTAAAAAATAAATAAAATAGGCATATTTGTGGAAAAAAATCTAATATTTAAGTTACACAAAAGCTTTTTATTTGTTTTCTTCCTAATTGTCCTTGAAATAGTGGTCAAGAACATACCACCCCCTGGTGGTTGTAAATCCACTTGTTGATAAGAAAGGAGGAAAGAGCCACATATGGAAATATTTAGGATATTAGCTCATAATAGCCGCGGCGCGCTCGTTTTTCATTGTTGCATAGCAACGACAGACGCCACGGGACAGCAAGCGTTTGTGGAAAGGAGAAAGCGGTGCGAACTGCGCTCCATGATGACGAGAAAGTATTAGCAAAGAATTCATTGATTTCTAGCCCTTGCATTAGCTTTACTACTAGATATATTTATGGAGATGAGAAATAAAAAGCCGGCTGAAATGCGTCACTGTCAGCATCGGTGAACAGATAATGGGCCAGATCCGAGTCTATTTTTGCTGCGCTGCTCATGCTTAATTAAAAGTGAAAGCATAGTTTTGATGGACAAAAAAATAAATATGATTTCACACAAAAAGTGCCCAAATGCACAGATTTTGCATGTCTAGTGTGTTTTAACAAGAGCTGCAGTAGGCTATGTTAGAAAAGAAAATGAAGACATTTATAGAAAATGTACCCATTTAAACGTGTTTTTATTATTCAGTTTGGGTAAAAGTATATGGTGTTTTATATATAATAAAAAATGGGGGGGGGGGGCATCTAAGATCTTGTCCCGGGCCCAGGCAAGACTATCAGCTGGCCTGCTTGGTGCTATGAAAAAACTTAAGTATATTTTTAATAATTTTTTTCAAAAACATGCTCAACCAAACGGTTGATTTGGCACATAACGGTTAATTGTCTCCCCCCTTTTTGAGAATGGACATTACAATGCACTATTAAAACTTGGTTGTAATTCAAGTATGCTTTGGAATAAAGACCTAAGTTTAGTCTTGTTTTAAAGAAAACACTCAGCAGATTATTGCTGAAGTAAAAGCACTTCAAAAAATAAAAGTATGAGAAAGTTATGGAAGGTTTAAATTTACATTAAATCAAATATACTGTACTAAATATTTTTTTCTTTTATATAAAATATATATTTTACAAAATATTTTTTCCTATAAAATGACTATAAAATCAAAGCCATAAGTTGTGTTCCAAGTTCTAACCAAGTTGTGTTCCAAATTTGAAGTTGATATCACAAAAATTTAAGTTCTCATGAGATTTTGTTTAGGCGTAATACCAAAAATGACATAAATTCCATTGAATTTAATTGTATGCATTCTGCTGTAACAAATTAAAACATTTCTGTCCAAACATCACTTCTGTTACAAAATATGGAACCTTGAGACTCAGACCTTTCTGACAATGTGTTTTGTCAAGACTAGAAAAGGTTTTGATCATAAATTATGATGGGCAATGAAAAAGTATGGCAAAGTATGTATGAATTCCGGTACCATTTATTACCATTAAGTGACATCTCAACTATTTGGTAGAGGCCGATATTTTAAAAATTATGGGATGTGTTGAAAAAAAAATACATTGAGTGTGGTTACTAGCGACATAAGAAGATAAGAAATGCAAACAAAAAAGATTTCCATCACTTTTTTCTTGGTGCGGACTTCAAAGGGTTAACGGAGAGAAGTAGCTCCGGCTACAATGTTCTTCCGCAAGACACTTGCAGTTTATTTATTAACGAACGTGCACGTCACGCGCATTGCACACTGATGGTGAAACGCGCCAATTAAGTCATAATAATTGTAAGTTAAATGTACAGTGTACGACATGTAAAAAAGACAAGAGGCTAACAATGTCAAGATCAATATGTGTAGCCTGACACTGTTTTCACACTGCATCCGTTCCAGGAGCAGTGCAGAGATCGTTTACACAACCCGACGCCCGTTTCACACATACTCCGTGTGCGTATGCGTGTTGCGGCGGTGCGTATGCGGTACAGGAGCAGCACGCGCTATAGTGCTTTCACATATGCTGCGTTTGCAGTGCGTAACTGATCCGCGGCTGTACCACAAACACATACTCACTATTTTTATTTCAAATCCAGAAGTTATGCAGCAACTTTTATTTAAAAAAAAAAGTTTTGTCAGCATTGCGATTCTCTTTGTACACATACAAACTTGAATGGACGTATGCAAGTTTAAACACAATTTAAACAACATAGGCCTGTAATTCCATGCATTACTTCTATATTAAGTTGCTTAAGCAAGTGGTCAAACCATGTAGGCCTACTTATATTAAAATCGCAAACATTTTAAATTAAAACTTAAAATTTACAAAAACAGCCGACTCTCATGCCTTTTCTTTTGCATTTAAATTTTAATACAATACATCTTGCATGTCACAAATAACTTGTTTTTCCACCTCCACGAATGAGACGAGTGTCGTTCATTATGTCCTTGTTGAGGTAAATTGTCGTTTTCCTTGCTTAAAACCCCGGTCTTAAAGTAAAAAGATGAAAAGTAGTATTTAATTAAATACATTTATGGTGAGATTACTACATTTTATTGAATTAAATGCATTTATGGTGAAATTACTACATTTTCAGGTCAATCTGTGTTCATTTTGACCACGAACCGTGCGCTGTCACTTTAATTCAGCGTTTGCAGCACAGCAAAAATAGACTCTGTGCGGAAACGATCTCTGCACTGCTGTATACGCACCGCACCTGGAACGGATCGACGGACTGCACCCGCGTGCAGTGTGAAAGCTCTAACCTGTTAACATGGGTACGGAAAAAAAATACGCACTGCAAACGGAGTATGTGTGAAACGGGCGCGAGTCTATTTTTGCTGTGCTGCACGCGCTGAATTAAAGTGACAGCGCACGGTTCGTGGTCAAAATGAACACAGATTGACCTGAAAATGTAGTAATTTCACTATAAATGCATTTAATTCAATAAAATGTAGTAATCTCACCATAAATGTATTTAATTAATACTACTTTTCATCTTTTTACTTTAAGACCGGGGTTTTAAGCAAGGAAAACGACAATTTCGTGGTCAAAATGAGCACAAATTGACATGACAATGAATTTCATCATAAATGCATTTCATTTAATAAAATGTAGTAATCTCACCATAAATGCATTTAATTAAATACTACTATTTTTCACAGTCATCTTTTTACTTTTAACTTTTTAATAGTTTTTTAGAGAATAATTTGATTTGATAGTTAAAAGATTAAAACATTTTGCTAACATGAGGTCTTGTGTCACTGTCAGTCTTTTTACATCAGTGCAAAACTATGGTATGCAGATTAAGACCACTATTCATCAGCATGCATTGATTAATCCCATGGCATGTAAAAAAAAAAAAAAAAAAAAAAAAAAAAAAAAAAAAAAGGTGCGACCAAATCATATGCTGGTGCGACCAACTGAGAAAGTTGGTAGCACCAGTGCAACCAGTGGAAAAGTTAGTCTGGAGCCCTGTATTCTATATAACCATGGTAAACACTTCATCCATCCATCCTAGCTTGAAACTTGAAAAAAAAAACAGCTGAAAAATTCTTCAAACATCCTTTGTGTCATAGTCTACGAGTTTGGAGAAACACGTGGGTGACTATTACAGAATTTTCCTTTTTTGGAGAACCATTTAAAGAATCTTCTGCGGACTGATTTTGTGGACCATAGTTTTCGCCTTGAAATGCCATATTTACTATAGTTATTGTTACCCATGTAAATACATAAATGATTTCCTTGAGGTCAGACTTTCCATTATTTTTCCCCTTTAATAACAGTGGCAGCCAATAGTCTGCAGTGAGAGTAAACTTAGCCTAATACCCAAACTATAATATTTTGGCGGAAACTATCAAATAAATCGTTCAGAAGTGCTGTATTCATTAGTTTGATATAGGCAAACCTATATAGGATATAGGAAAGTATATGTCCACATAGTGCTTTCATTACGATACCCGGGCTAATGAAATGGATAACAACTAGCCTCGCTTACTAACGTTAACCACCAGCGAGTTAATGTAACTAATATCAGTTTTTAAGATTAAATCAGACAAACTGAACAAGGAACGATAGATAGGGACGCAAAAGCGTCCCACCTCAGTCAAAGTCATTGCCTGTCTAGACATTGTAAACAACCAAATCCAAACCTTTTCAATGCACATCTTCTGTGTCTTCTGTCATCTCCTGTTGTCGGGGTTCCCAGTGTAATTCGGATGCTGTATTCTGCTGAACATTAGCTGCGTCCGACTCCGTAATCAGTCACTCGTTAACATTAACTGTGCTGTAGGAATGGCACATAATGTCATATGTGATGAATGAGGGAATGAAAACAAAACAGATGAGATAATTCTGGACGCTGACGTAATTACAGTGCGCCAGAGCGCTCTGACCATAGACCCAATAGCATCCAGCTGCAGCCCCGCAGACTCACTTCTCGCTAGACACCAGTGGCTGGACACCAGTGGCTGGACAGCCTACGTCATTTCCGTTTTCTCCGTCATTTCCGTTTTGCCGCTAATTTCCGTTTTCACCGCTGGATAGACAGCATATTTATTTTATATTTTCACCTCTGGATAGACATATATTTATTTTATATTTTCACCTCTGGATGGACATATATTTATTTTATATTTTCACCTCTGGATAGACAGCATATTTATTTTATATTTTCACCTCTGGATAGACATATATTTATTTTATATTTTCACCTCTGGATAGACAGCATATTTATTTTTTATTTTCACCTCTGGATAGACAGCATATTTATTTTATATTTTCACCTCTGGATAGACATATATTTATTTTATATTTCCACCTCTGGATAGACAGCATATATATTTTTTATTTTCACCTCTGGATAGACATATTTATTTAATATTTTCACCTCTGTCTGGATAGACATATTTATTTTATATTTTCACCTCTGGATAGACAGCATATTTATTTTATATTTTCACCTCTGGATAGACAGCATTTTTATTTTATATTTTCACCTCTGGATAGACATATTTATTTTATATTTTCACCTCTGGATAGACAGCATTTTTATTTTATATTTTCACCTCTGGATAGACATATATTTATTTTAGATTTTCACCTCTGGATAGACATATTTATTTTATATTTTCACCTCTGGATAGACATATTTATTTTATATTTTCACCTCTGGATAGACAGCATATTTATTTTATATTTTCACATCTGGATAGACATATATTTATTTTTTATTTTCACCTCTGGATAGACATATATTTATTTTATATTTTCACCTCTGGATAGACAGCATATTTATTTTATATTTTCACCTCTGGATAGACATATTTATTTTATATTTTCACCTCTGGATAGACAGCATATTTATTTTATATTTTCACCTCTGGATAGACAGCATATTTATTTTCTGTTTTCACCTCTGGATAGACAGCATTCTTTGCAGGCTTAATTGCACACGTCTTTTCCGTATTGTCATTTTACTTTTATGACTTAAAATATATAATATAAAAGCTGTGTGCAAATTGAAATATGATCTTTATCATATCTCTTTACATAAAACAATTCTCAATTATATACCTAATATTATAACTTCAATAATTCATGCAAACTGCATTCACAAGAACCACCTTAAAAATATATATTGTTCAGATCATATCACTATTTTTTGTGACTTAAATTCAGCCTAGATCAATGGACTATAACGTTTTGTCAATACAACAGACTTGTACATGTTAATTGACCACAGTTTTTTGCCTTGCCCATTTGGATATTCAATTCTTTTTTTTCTTTTTTTTGTAAATGTAACCACTTCTGTTTTTAAAATATACGTAGATTCACATGATCAGACAATTTACCAAACAATCCAGATCAAATTAACACTTCATGGTTTTGCAATATTTATTGGAAATTACACAATCTAATTAGTAAAATTAGTCAAATCTGACCATCAGAATGAAGATGCCACAGTCAGGCCCGTAAGGTTGTGGGGGAAGTCCCTATTTCAAGAGAATAAACTATAGACTATAGACCAAATAAACTATTGCACACTGTGCACACCACAAAACTGCCCCCTAAAACTGGCAGTCTGGGCAATGCTCAGGAAATTCAGGGTCTGTATAAAACCCTCGCAGGTCTCCACGTCTTCCGTTTCCACGGTAACGTTACCCCACCCAGTCTTTGAAAGAACATCTGCAATTTCTGCATTGTACAATTTTAAAAGGGACACACATGTCTCTTACAGCCTGGGGCAGTTTTTTGACATTCACCACACCTAAAGCAAGAACAGATGTACAATATGATTAGAATGAGCATGTTTATATTTAACTATATTAGAGTACAAGTGTTCTATTGTAGCAACCTAGCTCTAGAATTGAGGCACACCATGCAGAGTTCACTAATACCTTTAAAAAACACGACAAAGTACCTTGAAAACAAGACGATTTTTGTAACTAGCTAGTTTGTGCATTTGAATTCTGACATGACCTATAAATCATCGACAGTTTATATTTTTTTTCTTACCGCTGACATCTGCATGGCGCGTCAAATTTGAAAAGTGAATGACGATACGGAAATGACGATACGGAAATGACGTAGGCTGTCCAGCCACTGGTGTCTAGCGAGAAGTGAGTCTGCGGGGCTGCAGCTGGATGCCTCTCGACATTTACGCGCTGAGCGCGACGAAACCTATGGACGAAACGAGCTGAGACTTTTTTCACAGACGCCATTTTCTTTGATTCGCGATGCAAGGCATACGATGAGGGAAAACGCATGGATTAAGTGTTTTATCGCATTTATATTTGCCTTTTATAACGTCTTATTGGTTTATAACAATGTGTATGTGCTGTGCACGGCTAAACCGCTCCCGTTTCACACATACTCCGTGTGCAGTGCGTATGCGGTGCGTGTTGCGGTGCGTATGCGGTACAGGAGCAGCACGCGCTATAGTGCTTTCACATATGCTGCGTGCGTTTGCAGTGCGCAACTGATCCGCGGCTGTACCACAAACACATTTACTCACTATTTGTATTTCAAAAAATCATCAATCAAATCAAGTTATCAGCAGCAAAAGTTTTTGCCTCCAGTGCAATTCTCTTTGTAGGCCTATTCACGTTTAAAACACAATTTAAACGACGTATTATTCAATGCATTACTTTTATATAGGCCTAGATTATAGGCTATATTAAGTTGCTCAAGCAAGTGGTAACATATTTAACCATGTACTTATATTAAAATCGCAAACATTTTAAATTAAAACTTAAAATTGACAAAAACAGCAGACTCATACCTTTTCTTTTGCATAATTCAAATCTGTATACAATAAATCTTGCATGTCACAAATAACTTGTTTTTCCACCTCAACGAATGAGACGAGTGTCGTTCATTATGTGGCCTTGTTGAAGTAAATTGTAGCTTTCTTTGCTTTACCCCGGTCTTAAAGTAAAAAGATGACTGTGAACAAAGTAGTATTTAATTAAATGCATTTATGGTTACATTTTATTTAATTAAATACATTTATGGTGAGATTACTACATTTTATTGAATTAAATGCATTTATGGTGAAATTACTACATATTCAGGTCAGTCTGTGTTCATTTTGACCACGAACCGTGCGCTGTCACTTTAATTCAGCGTTTGCAGCACAGCAGAAATAGACTCGGTGCGGAAACGATCTCTGCACTGCTGTATACGCACCGCAACTGGAACGGATCGACGGACCGCATCCGCGTGCAGTGTGAAAGCTCTAACCTGTTAACATGGGTACGGAAAAAAATACGCACCGCATACGCACTGCAAACGGAGTATGTGTGAAACGGGCCCGTTTCACACATACTCCGTTTGCAGTGCGTATGCGGTGCGTATTTTTTTCCGTACCCATGTTAACAGGTTAGAGCTTTCACACTGCACGCGGATGCGGTCCGTCGATCCGTTCCAGTTGCGGTGCGTATACAGCAGTGCAGAGATCGTTTCCGCACCGAGTCTATTTCTGCTGTGCTGCAAACGCTGAATTAAAGTGACAGCGCACGGTTCGTGGTCAAAATGAACACAGACTGACCTGAATATGTAGTAATTTCACCATAAATGCATTTAATTCAATAAAATGTAGTAATCTCACCATAAATGTATTTAATTAAATAAAATGTAACCATAAATGCATTTAATTAAATACTACTTTTTTCACAGTCATATTTTTACTTTAAGACCGGGGTAAAGCAAAGAAAGCTACAATTTACTTCAACAAGGCCACATAATGAACGACACTCGTCTCATTCGTTGAGGTGGAAAAACAAGTTATTTGTGACATGCAAGATTTATTGTATACAGATTTGAATTATGCAAAAGAAAAGGTATGAGTCTGCTGTTTTTGTCAATTTTAAGTTTTAATTTAAAATGTTTGCGATTTTAATATAAGTACATGGTTAAATATGTTACCACTTGCTTGAGCAACTTAATATATAATCTAGGCCTATATAAAAGTAATGCATTGAATAATACGTTGTTTAAATTGTGTTTTAAACGTGAATAGGCCTACAAAGAGAATTGCACTGGAGGCAAAAACTTTTGCTGCTGATAACTTGATTTGATTGATGATTTTTTGAAATACAAATAGTGAGTAAATGTGTTTGTGGTACAGCCGCGGATCAGTTGCGCACTGCAAACGCACGCAGCATATGTGAAAGCACTATAGCGCGTGCTGCTCCTGTACCGCATACGCACCGCAACACGCACCGCATACGCACTGCACACGGAGTATGTGTGAAACGGGCGTCAGGGGGGCATTTCCGTTGACGCACGATGCAGATCAGACCAGGATGGGTTTGCTTGTTAACAGGAAAACGGCGAAAGTAAGTGTTTTATCTAATTTACAATATGTATTTTATAGCGATATTTAAATGCTTTGCGCGCTTAAACGAGCCGAAACGTTTCTCAAAGGCGACGATCTTCTTGACTCAAGACGGAGCTGATGACGAGGAGGTTTGCTTGTAACGTTAACAGGAAAAACACCGAAAGTAAGTGTTTTTAACCTAATTTACAACATGTATTTCATGGCATTATATTGTTTTGTAACGATATGTATGTGATGTGTGCGCCTAAACCTTTCTCACAGACTAGGCCCACAGACGACTAGGCCTGCATCTTCTTTGAGTCGTGACGCAGTGCTGACACGGATTTTGCTTTTAACAGTAAAAACAAATAGTAAGTGTTTTAACTCATTACAATACGTGTTTTATGACAATATTTGTGAAGTGCAAATATTAAAAGTATGTATTTATCCTCAAACTATCTTTTACTCTCGTTTACCAGCACACCTAGTATAAGTTAACTGAAAAACAGAAGAACAACACAGACTGCAGACCAACAATGCACGTGAAATTGTCACTTTATTTCCTTTTTTGGAGGACCAATTTTCTTAGAATGGGTAACTAATTCTTTCAGATTAATATTTATGCAAAATGTACTTATCAGAATAACTTTTGATTGATGTTTAGTGGTTATGCTTTCATGTTTAAATGTATTGATTTAGCTATTTGTGTTTGCTAGGAGCATTTCTATGATGCACTGAGTGGCTAAGGCTAAACCAGGCTTGGTGTTTAAAGACTGTACAGACTAGAACCTGGTGATGTTAAGATTTAACAGATAACATGAGAGAATCATGGGCACAAACATAAAAAATAATCATACCTTTGTTGCTATTTGGTATAACTAGATTTTCTGTGTTTCTTAACACTCATTTTGAATTTTTGTCCAGTCAAATTACTTTACAAAAGTCATTTTTATTTTTTACTTAAAATTAGTTTTCAAACGAATTGTTTTAATGATTTAACAGGTAGATGTTTTCTTGCTGTTTAATTTTAGACTCCACTGATTGGGAAATATCTGCCCATCACCTGTCCAACATCACAGCCACAAAAAGGGAACACAGATTCTTCCAGCGGCTGACTATTAGTGGGATTTCTTAAGGTAGGTGTCTTAATTTATTCTTAAAGGGTAACTAAACCCCTGGTCAGAGCCTGACTCCACCCACTGGCAATATTTGAAAAATGCTGGAAAAGTGGGCAGAGCCCAGCAGAGATAGAGGGGACGAGCCGAGGGCGGTGCTGAGCGGGGGGCGTGCACCTGAGACCCGCAGTGACGGATTGATTGACAGCTGCTGTCAGACTCTAAAATGGAGAGTGACGCAAGTAGCTTTGCAACAGAGCGGTCATTTGAAGTCGAGGACTTTTCTCCCCCAGCTTCACCTGAAGTGGAGGAGGGTGAATTGTCTGTGGACACAGGGTCATATCAATTCGAGCCGCTGGCTCAAACTGCGGTCTTAACTCCCGCATCGCGATCGGCATCTGATGAGTTTTGTCGAGTTGATGTCAATAGCGCGCGCTCTCTGTCGGCATATTCATATTCTGTCGCTATGTGAAAAAATCCAGCAAAATGTGCCGTCGCGTTTGTCGACCCCAGAGGATTAACTTGAGCCTAACCATAAATTGTGATTAAAACATACATGCTCTCTCGCATCAAGACGCGACTGCGGTGGTGGAGTCCATGCAGGAGGAGCAGCGTTTGGCACTGCGTCGCTTTTCAGCGCCAGCTGTGTGGAGAAGCCCATTTCCACCTCTACTGCATTACCATCCTGACCACTGTACTAAATACAGATAAATCTACGCTAACTGATGCAATACTATACTACTAACTAACTATGCTTCTAACAATACTACACTAACAACTATGCTAATTAACTACATAGGCTACACGAAATAATCTAAATAACTATATAAATGCTATGCTAAATAGATGCTAAAACACTCTATCCTGATCGTTTTAAATACTCGCAATTCCAGCTCCTGACTCGCAGTGGTTTTGACGAAACAAGATGGTTTTTATACTGCCAAGGGCGTGGTAGCTCGTACCAAGGGCGTGGTGAGCTGGAACCTGCTTACGTCACCAACAACCGCTTACGTCACGAACCACCGCAAACATCCAATAGGAAAATTCAACTGAATCAAAAATTCAAATTCAAATCTGAGAGCTTCCTGCCCCTCCATTGACAGTCTATGCAACTACCACTTTCAAGCCCTATAAAGGTACATCATTATGCTGCATTCACACCAGACGCGAATAGCTCGTCAAATTCGCGCCTACCGCGTCTAGTTATACGCTTGATGTTAGATGTTTGAACTTTTTCCAACATAAACTTGCTGTATTTATAAAACACAAATTGTATTAATTGTAATCGGTCTGATTTTGTGTTGTGTTGTCTAGAGAACCAGCACTCCAGGATTTTTTCAAGAAAGTTGAATCTGCGCAGCCATTCCTGCTCTATGAAACTCTACTGTTAGCAACTGGACACAACTGATCCACTCGTGTCCTGCAACTGATCCACTCGTGTCCTGCAACTGATCCACTCGTGTCCTGCAACTGATCCACTCGTGTCCTGCAACTGATCCACTCGTGTCCTGCAACTGATCCACTCGTGTCCTGCAACTGATCCACTCGTATCCTGCAACTGCTCTTCATCTGCTGAATGTTGTTGACTCGAGCACTGCTGTACTGTTGCAGAGTCGAAGGTACTGAATCAACTTCACTGACACAGGACTTACATTCACTGACATGTTCAGGATTTGGAGTATTACAGACCATTTGATAAGCAGCTTTCATATAATTCTGATGACAGAAATGCCTATAGTGTGCATTCATTGTTTATTTTAAAGGTTAACCTATGATGTAAAGGGGCTTGTTCGTTAATAAAATAAATAGTTTGTTAAAACCACTGTTTGCATTTTGCCTTTATTTTTTACTTTACAATGAACAGAATTCTGCTATAATCCCAGACTAAGGTTACAATTTAACTTTCTGGATTGTTTTGAAATAAAGTTTTGAAAGAGTAATATAGAGTGATGTGTTTATTTCAAAGTGAATTTATTCTTTTCAGATTAAATGATTTGTCAGTTTATTTTGCAGTTCTTTAAAGTAGGTAATGCAGAACCCTAATAAGAAAAACTGGTAACTCCTAGTGTTGTTTTTTTTGTAAAAAGGTGTTCTATCAACACCAGGATGGTGTAATACTCGACTCCTAAGGCTGAGAAGAATTCCATGATGAGTGATTTTCATCTTCTTTTAAAGTGTTAGGTCGACACCAGAACAGTGTAGAATTGTAACTCTGCCAGTGTTTGCCACAAAGCTGCACCCAGCTCTGTAACAGTGTTGTTGTTCTCTGCATTGGTGGTAGTCATATTTTACTTATTTTACTCTTAGTGTTCATATTGGTGTCAGTGTTGCGAGAGGAAACACTTTTGAAAGTGTTGAGATTTCCTGATTTAAAATTTACTGTCCAAATCCTGAAGGAAAATGACCAGTCCTCATAAAGCTCAGAGATATTTTGACACTACATCCTCCAACCACCTTCTGCACTGTACAATTTCCAAATTTCATATAAGTGATGTTGGTCATCTAAACATGAAATCTGTATGACACACTTTATATAACACGTATAAAAAAAATGACACAAAATGTGTATAAATCCTATAGGACTTTAATTTGACTAGCATATGATTCAATATAAGAACTTTAAATGATTTGTATATGAATATCGGGTGTTTTCTACTAATACCATACACCATTGCATACTTTTGTCATGTACAACTCATATAAGACTTTTAACAGTATTCATATATGACGCAAAAATCCCCTATAAGTTGTATGTGTGCTATTTAGTATGAAAGGGGCCAGAATCGGTCTGATTTTGTATAGGACATGTATTGGTCTTACATGAAACACATAAGGTAATTCTGTCCAATTTAAGTAAGGAAGATATATGGTTGCTGTTTATGAACCATGCAGGTTTTTTTCATATGGGTTGTGCTTATTTCTGTGCCACGTTTTGGCGCACTGCTATTTTACCTAGTTTTAGTCTATTTTGCGAGTGAAACTTGTTGTCCGGCTGCATTAAGTCCATATAAGTAGATCCGGACTTGTGGACACCGAATCGTTATTTAAACATGCCATCTGGCTGTTCTGCGTGTCAGAGTGAACTGCGTGCTACACGCGTGATTCTCATGGATTTATCCACGTCTCTATGAGGAGATGAACTTCATCTCCTTTCAGAACATTTTACTGAGTGAAGGTAACACACACTAAATAATAAGCGTCTTCCTACAACCTGCCAAAATAAAAGTCCGGTTGACTACAGTAGTTTCACTTCTTACCAGGGTCAAAAATTTATAAATTTCTAACACCGAAATTTATTTAAAGGTGCATTGCGCAAGTCTCTGAGTTTTTGCAGAACTATGCCCCCCTCTGGCGACAAGCGAAACTGCAACCAGAGGTGTCCACGCTCATGTACCACAAGCACACGCACGCTTGCACGAGCTGTTCATAACCAAAGGAGCATCAGCCACACAAATCTTTTGTTTACAGTCATAATGTCTTCAGAGGTAATAAAGTTATAAATCTGCAAGTCATTTTAAATATATGAAAGGAAAGGCATTTGAGTAAATTACACACTTATGTGTGAGGGGAAAACGGGGGTAGTAGAAAACGTCGGTTTTTGTTTCCATCTATCTCCATGTTGAACTGTTTTATGTGTTTACTGTATCCAGTTATGATTGTATTATTATAGAAACACGTTCATGAACCGTTTAATCAAGAAAAAAGCCAACTGAGGATCCCGTTTGAGCCCTAGAGCAGACCGGAGATCTCTCCATTTGTTGAAAGCCTTCCCGATGTTGACTCTCGTCTTATTCCGACGCCTGTCTGACTCCAATTTGGCCCTTTTGGTGGCACTAGACAAAAGTTTTCTTTTCTTTGTCTTACTTGGAGTTTGCGTTGGGGTTTGGAATGAACTACAAGCCGGTCTCTTTGAATCCATCTTCTACTTTTGTCGAAATTTGACTAAAGTTTTGTCACTCGAGTTGTCTTCGCTGATACGGAGAATGGCGGCGCCGGCGAATACACAAACCTGCCAGACATGGCCATTTTAGCGTGACGTCACGCCCAGTCTCAAATTCCGTCCCGAATCCCTCTTATTTATTTTACTGTACAGGATTATAGAGGCAATCGCAGTGATCAGAGAAGAGCTCATTCAGCCCATCAGGCAATTGTTTAAGCATGTATGGGTTAGAAAAACGGGTATTTTTAACATGAAATGTTGCGCAATGCACCTTTAAGAAAAAAATAAAATAAAATAAAAACCGCACTATATTGCCACCTAGTGGTGCAACTGGGAAACTATAACATTACATGTATAACAACCTGTCTTATAGACATTTAAAGGTTACATATATTTTGCGGCTCCAGACAAATTTTATTTGGTGGGAGATGGCCCAAAATGGCTCTTTTGGTCGCAAAGGTTGCCGACCCCTGAGCTAGAAGATTGATCTGAGAAATGCACCAAAGCATGGTATCATTTACCTTTTCATCACATTTTTTACACAGTCCTCAAGGTTTGCACCCCCAATCCTGACTAACCGAGACACCTGAAAATATTTTGAAAAATGTCATTTTTTCACCATCAGAAACACAGAAAAAAACAGTATTAGTATTGGCCTGGCATAGTTATACTGACCATCACATTCCTATTTTCTTCATCGGCCAGTTGCCCTTCCAGATTTTTCAGCTCACGCCTGCCGTTCATCTTCTCAAGGTGGAACTGA